AACGGTTAATTCGGATGCCTTATATCATTAGCTGAATGAACTAAATGATATACTTCAATGGAAAAGGTCAGAATTAACCCACAACAAGGCATAGTCCTGCATCAAGACGACGCAAGACCTCACAAAAGTTTGGTCAATCGCCAAGAGATTATAAAGCTTGAATGGGACCCAATGATACATTCATCATATTCTCCAGTCACTGAAAAAATTTTTAGGCGGTGAAACCTTTACCTCAAATCAGCCTGTCAAAAAGCACTTTGATCAGCTTTTGCCAATAACGACCAAAACATTTATGATTTCGGAATTATGCTAATACCAGAAATATGATAAAAGATGTTCGATCAAAACTGCGAGTGCATAATTTATTAAAGTAACTGTTTATAATACGAAAATTACGTGCAAAAAGTCTATAAAAAACGAAGTTACTTTTCACCAACCCAATTACATCGATTACAACAACCCAATAGTATCGATGTATAATTTTTAAATATATTCCCATGATTATTTGATAAGCAACTCAGAACACTGATAATTTTTAATACTCTCGCTATGCGTGAATGATACGCATTTTGCTAAAAATGTCATAATTAGCACTTGTATTTTTTTTAAATTTTCATTATAATTTCGTGTTTCTACCCGGAATCTATCAGACGATAACCTCAATAAGTCGGTCATGCTATTTCTTTTCGATTGCAATATCAAATCATTCAACTATTGAAAATGGTCAATGATAAATCGCGGTTCAAAATTTACAAATTAATTAATTTATTATTCAATAAACTTCTTTTGCGGAAACGATAACTTGAATTTCAAATATTTTGGATTTATGTTAAAACAATCTTTAATTTTGCAAAAAGTTTTCTTCCCTAACAATAATTCATTATTGTTTTCAAATCAATGTCAATTTGATTTCGGAAATTAATTGATATTAATTATAACATAATTAGTTACTTGCAATGAATTCTTCAATTATACTCTAAATTATTGATTTTTCTTATTGATACATATATTATTGAACAATGTGTATTAATTTGGCGTGAAAAATGTTTTCCACACTCTCTCGTTAATTACGCTTGTTAACATTTTGTATTTTAATAATAGTACATTCAGTTATTTCTTTTTCTAGTTTTAAACCAATTCGTATTTTTGACTAGTTTTAATATTCAAAAATCAGTTTTATATTCCATTATTAATGTATATATTTATATGAACAATTGATGAACAGTACGAATTATTATTACGGACATTCAAATTGAATAATATTGTTACGAGAAGAGTATGTATTCAAATTGGTCGCAGTTTGTTCTTATCTTATTTATATTTATAAGAAATTAATATTTTCGCAATTCTTGATAAAATATTAAGAAATATAAAGTGTTCTTGGACTTTGAATTGGTATATTTAATTCTGATATCTGTTTCATATGAAATTACAGAAAATGTTACATCACTCTAATAATAATTAATATCTCGATGGAGAAGATTATATTTTTGCCACAAAATGCATATTACTTATTTGATGTTTCAATTCATTCTGAATAGTTTGACAAAAGTGAAAAATTTTGTTGTACTTGCATCGAGTTTTTTGAACTATGGACCTATATACATTATATATGTTGAAAAATGATTGATGTGGTGGTTAAGGGTTGGGTCTGTAGGTTGTTTCACCAATGCTATAAGGAAATGGAATATGTCGGTCATGTCGGTAATTAGAATTAGTTGTTGCTATCCCAAAGCAGCTAACCATAAATAGGAATGAGGTTGGGGTTGTAGGTTCTGTTCTAATGCAGGTTCAGGCCGTCGACCGTAGGTAATATGTAGAACAAGTGGTAGATCCGCTCATCCAACACCTTTCCAACTATGGGGTAGAAATTGATATTAATACTGGTTAATAAGTTTTCTTCGGAAGAGGTATAGGTCAAAAGGTTTTTCTTGAACACTGATTTATTATAAATAGACAGTAACACTTTATTTGACTTTCATTACAAAGGACTCTTTCAATAGCTAACTACAGCTTATCAAATGGGTATCATAGTAACTACCTTTGTATTGCAAGACTACTTTTGTGTACTCTTTGTTACATTTTGCTACTCTAAATTGTACGGACAATTTCCAATGTAGTGCTGCCAGATTCTCGCAATAATCTTGGACTTCGAAAAATTATCAAAGTCAAACGGATAATTGTTTTATTCGTTATTGTATTATTGTACACAATAATATATACAAGTATATATATATATATATTTATAAGATTTAGGTTTATTGTTCGACGTTGAGACATATCTTGAATGTTGATGTCTGTTGCCAATTGTCGAACATAATTAAAAAACTATTTATTTATAAATTTCGACACGGGATGTGTATCATCATTCAGCTTTTTTTTAAATTTATACAGTAACTAAAAGAATTTCTACAAAGTTTAAAAAGATATTAATATAATATAATATATTAATATTACATAATATAGAGTTGTCATTTAGAACATATCATTCGGAGCACCCTAGTGTTGGTTTTTAAAAATGAATCTGTGTCATCTTCTATATATATAAAAATAAGTCGGGCTTTCCTTCCTCACGAAATAACTCCAGAACGCACGAACCGATTTCGACAATTTTGCATTCGTTGGAAAGGTCTCGGGCTCCGCAGGGTTTATAGCTAAGAAAATTAGTTGAGCATGGCATCGTGCCCTAATGCAAATTGCTGGAACTTCACGCATCGTAATTAAATATTCGAGTAATGAAAATAATCAATAATTGTTTTAAATAATTTCAAATAGATTATATTCTATATATATAAAAATAAGTCGGGTTTTCCTTCCTGACGATTTAACTCCAGAATGCACGAATCGATTTCTACAATTTTGCATTTGTTGGAAAGGTCTCAAGCTCCACCAAATTGGTGGTGCATGGCATCGTGCCCTAATGCAAATTGCTGGAACTTCACGCATCGTAATTAAAAATTCGAGTAATGACATTAGTGAGAATTATCAGAATTATGCTTGGTTAAGTCAACGAGCAATTCTTGCCGCCAAGAAATATGATGTACACGCACTGAGTTTCACCATTCAATCAAAAATTGCTGGCGATTTGGTGACATACCAATGATTCCGACTGGTTTTCCGTTTGACTTCAAACGATTGCAATTTCCAGTTCGCCTTGCGTTCACAATAATAAGTCGCAATGCCAATCGCTTAGTGTTTGCGGGATAAATTTCAAATAGATTATTTAGAAAATCATTGTTTTTCACATGGGCAGTTATACGTTGCCTGTTCACAAGTTGGAAAACCATCCGCTTTATTTGTGTTAACGTCAGACCAAAAAACAAAAAATGTAGTTTACCAAAAAGCACTTCAATGAAACGGATAATTTGCGGATTCACTTTCATTTATTTAGAGAAGTTCAACTAAAAAACACTTCATTTTTGTAATCGAAGTAAAATCATTACTGTTGTATAATAAAATAAAATTTTTCGTTTTCAAATATAAAACAAACAAAAAATTTCTTTCATCTTCATCTTTCTCACGAAACCATCTGGTGGCAAAACGGAGTTCGTCGGGTTTGCTAGTCTCTGTATAAAAACAATGTATTAGACTAAATTAATGAGCAAAATATGTACAGATATATAACAATTAAACGTATGATTGCATTCATTTAAATGTATGATCGTACATCTTTCAATAATGCCCTTATCATATTTGTCATAACTTTTTGTCTTGAAAAAAAAAAACTATTGCTTAGACTGCCAGTCTAGACGTCTGCTCTATTTTTTAACTCGCGTTGTTACAAAAATCGCTGATAAGATGGTCAAAGTCATTGTTTACAGTTGAACATTCTCTATGAACTTCTATTCGTCATAGACATAAAATATACAATTAATATTAAATAAAACTTTTAAAAAGATACTCCAGAAGGGCCGATATGATCTAGTCATAGCTGTTTTACAGTCATACATTTTTATTTCATTATTATTATTAATAGCAATCTTAACTTAATAGTCCTACAACCTTGTTGTGATAACTTTTCAATAACATGGCTTATTAGAAGATAACGGTTGGCTTATCTCAACTTTAATGAGTTTATTATTATAATTTCTGTAATAATTAGGAATGTTTTAAATGCAGCTGTGAAAGGGTTGTTTTTGCTTGAAAATATACTGCTATCTATATTTTTAAGTCAAAACCGATGCCACTTCTGCTTGACATCCGGCTATCCGAGACGGACGTCGAACGTGGGTTGGACTATCTGATTGGAAGCCCATACCTCTAACTACCAAACAATGGAGAAGCCGAATTTGTATTGTTGAAAAAGAAATCTACCTACACAAATTTTTAAAAATTATGTTCTAATTTTTACAGGGACCATGGTAACTTTATTAGATAAACAAAGAAATAATTTTCTTTGCCAAAATTCTCGACAAAGCACTATTTTTTATTTGACATATGTGACTGACTATATTAAAACTTTTTTTTTGAAAGCCAAGAAATTTTTAGATTTTGCTCCTGATAGGCCAAGCTTTCGAAACATAATGCAAATGTATCGTTTACGTCAACCATGGGGTAAAATTCTAACCAATTTCTAACCGAGTGTCAAAATGCGTAAACCACACATATATGTTTGAAATTTTTATCGTCAAACACATATGACTGACATAGTGATTAACTTGTTGAACAATGGCGAATAAATTGGGTAAGACAAGATTTACTAAAAGGAAAGTACTAGAGCAGACCAGAGTAATGGTGTGCAAATTAAGATTTAATTATGGAGCTTTTTCTTAACATCTCTGTAAAATAAAAATGGTTAACAACAACAAATGCTAATGTAACCAATTTGAACAAAATGCACTGCTTCTGATGCTAGAATGCAAAAAATACATATTTCAATTTGAAATTTTCAACGATCAAGTGGATATATTATGTATGACATGCATAATATGATAATTCGTGACTTATATTATCATTTTTCAAATCCATCATATTAATCTATATATATATCAACTTTTCAGATTGGAACTTCTTCTTGAAGAAATGGTGGGCATTATTGCACATCATGCGACGCCGTTCCGAAAACGTTTCTGGAATAAGGCAAAGCCAGCTTCCATCAACAGAGTCACCAAAAATTCTACAGAGAGAAGAATCTTCCGATTCCATCGCCATATATGGTGCTGATCAGCGTGGATCTTCCGTCTTCCTCAAGATCACCAGACGAAGACACCGTGTAGCTGAAGTGTGGCTGGTTGTTCGACTTTCTAATGGAGACGTTTATCATTTGCCAAGTAAGATAAATTTAATATTATGGTACATTCTTAGCAATACATATTAGGAAAATAAAAAACATATGCGAAATAATATAGTAAATATTTAGAGTATCATCACTTTATAAACACAAAGCTCTTTAAGCGGAAACATTCTAATTCGCAAACATATCCTCTTATATATAATTATTTATTGTCGTTAGTGTTCCCTTTACAAATATGTGATTCCTTTACGACAAACATAAAATTACTAATAAAGCATTGTTATTAAAAACAAATGCTTTTTGTTATCTTGTTTTTCAAAGAATGTTTTGAATATTTTGACGAATTGCAATTAAACTTTTGATTGATCTTATCTATATGTATTGATATGGATCATTTAAATAATGAAATCCGATAAAATGCAGGATACGAATAGTATCACTACGCGCAAATAAACTTAATCTAATCACACAGTTTTTTCGATACCGGGTTATTAAAACGATAAACATGATTTTATTTGTAGTATAATGTAAAATGCTTAATATTTGCAACTGACAAACAATGAAAAATATGTTTATGCATAAATAATATTGTTAACAATTACGTTTGCTATTACTATATGTTTCATTATAAAGTTTTGATAGACTTTCGGGGCACTTTACTCTACTGTTTTTGAAATGACTATTACTACGTAGAAAGCAAATTCAATATTTCAGTAGTAGGAGAGACTGGGTATGGTTCTCCCAGGGTACGGTAGTGACATTCGTTATAACAGCTAAACCATACTGATCCCTATATCAAAGGGTTCAAATGCGAGAAAGATGAAGTACGCTTGTTCGAACAAGTTAGCATTATTGATGATTTTGATGATGATTTGTTTTACATGTACTTCTTGTCCTTTTTCTGTGAAGATTAAACAGATAAATAAAAATCTAACTTAACTAAGACCAAATACGAAAGAAAAAGAAAAATACAATATAAAAAATAATATGATTTCACAAAAAATCCTTACTAACTTTGTTTAAAAGATATGTTTTAGTATATATCGTTATATTTTCTTCATAGGCTCTGTTTATGTTTATGCTGTGTTGTGTTACATATTATTGTTATTAACAACAATAAAATTGCTTATAGAACATTTTGATATTTATAGCTATAGTTTTTTAACCAATTTTTGTGTCGCCCTTTTTTTGTATGTTTTTATCACAAATTCATCGTATTCAAAAAGAGTATTTCAGTATTTTCACATGGACGAATCAAATTACCATTTAATTTACTTTTGTCCTAGCTAACAGGTAAATTAACAAAATTATTGCTGATAAAAAAGTGGCACAAACTGTTTCCAGTGCCCCCTACGAAATAGACAAGTGTGTCTAGAATATTATGTGAATATATGAATTTATGTCAAAGATTGATTTTTTATGAAGCGCATAAAAGTGGTGGACTGTTTGTAACATAAGCTTATGATTTACTTGTTATTTCTCAATAATTTTATTATACATACTTAATTTAAATTAAATTTTTAAGCTGATGATTTTTATCAAATTAAAATTTATATAAATTTATAAAAAATTATATTTATAAAAATTTATAACATTTCGCAAAGAACAGCGTACTCTAAAATTTGAGCTATATTTTTATCTACTTATATTATATAGGTCAAGGTTTACCAACTTTTAATATCAGATATAAGGGGTTGTTCTATCGTATCATATATAAGACTGCAACGTATAAAAATGATTACATTAGAGTCTATTTAATTCAATTCGGGGAACAAATTAAGTATGGTATCAATCTCTAACCTAATGTTTGTAACCAAAATCTTCACAACAGTTTGGATGTAGCTCAATATGTAGTCAGTAAAGAAAAGATACGTACATACTATTCTTCAAGAATAGACATATTAACCTCCATATTTCGCAAATTTTTCCAACATGTCATTTAAAATCGAAGTTTTAGACGTTTAAAAAAATGATTAGATACTCATTAGAAGATTTTGTGCCATAATCAATTTATAATGTCAAGATTTTGTACCAAGTCAAATTATATGCGTTTAATATTGCGGTTCTCTAATTCATCAGCATAATAGTTTAAAAAACCCATTTGTTCCGGTGATTCTGAATAACTTATGACTTATGTCTTTATACCTCAAAGAAAATTATTATAACTTTCCATTTTTATATATAAATATCCGATAATTATTAGATTTTTAAAATGTGATCTATAAAGAAAATGGAATCGATCGAAAAATTATTATTATACAAGCAAATAAAGTATGTCAATTTGAACTTTATTAAAAAGAGTTTTATTGTTTTTAATTTTATACTTTATATTTCATGTTCATTACTTTGAAACTCTAAACTAAGTAAAGGTTCAATAATGAATTGCAAGCTTTTTCAAATAAAGATTCGAAAGTTTCAATCGAAACAAGGCGATGTATTTTTTAAATTTTTAGAAGTTAGTACACAGTCAAGAATTTCGTTAATGTGTAAAATATGTCGAATACCCAGCTTTAGTCCAGAAATGATGGTTTTTAAATCGTTTTCTGCCGCATCTCAAATAGACTTCTTTGCCAAAAACCAATTGACTCAACACATTGTCATTATGAATGCCTTTTGAACCATATTAATCGGTTTTACTATTCTTACCAAAAAGTGCCAAATAAACTACATGCATATAAACCACACATATATCATTTTTCTATAACGTAATCCAAAATAATCAGAAAATAAAAAGAATCAAAAAAAAATGTCATCGTTGTTTCTTTTGTGTTTTGAATAAAGTTACCACACAGGAAATTAAAATTTATTATTGACTCTAAACCTACCAACGCCAGTCAAATTGACTGTTTCAAACTTTGTGTAAGAGTTAGACGTTTTTAAACGTTAAAATACCATTATCAAACTATTATATATATGGCAATTCTAAGAATATACTAACAATATTTTCTCTATACCTTCATTCTAGATTTTTTTCTTTTTTCCGAAAAAATGGTTATATAAACTAAATACCGCGGTCGGTCAATATGACCGGTGGATAATTGTTAACGCCATACTCCCAACCCTGGTCTAATTATTATATTTTATTACCTTCATACAAAATAGCAACAATAAACCCTCATCCCTTAAATAATCTCTCTTATTGTCATGCATCCTGTCCCGCTTAATTCCACAAAATAAACCAATCAGAAAAATATATGAATCAACAGTGTCTTAAATCAACATTCAAAGCAATAACATCTAACATATCATCTATAAGTCTTAATATTTTATTCAAATACACAATAATTAAACATTTATTATGATCTTTTAACAGTCTGATATAGCCACTATTTAAATATATCTGGTCCTTCGACAATATAAATAAAGTGCAAGTGTTTTAATAGAGTTCGGCAACGTCTCGGTGGATCACGAACTTCTATACACTTTTAATCTATCTTGTCACAACATATTTTTGGCCCATTCGAATCGAATGGTCAAATAGTGAACAATAATAATATTATATGGGGACTTCCAGGTCTATAGTAAATATATAATAAATGAGTAAATAAATTTTATATTTATATTATACCATTATCAAGCTTTATAGAAATTTTATGAATATACAAACAATATTTTCTTCACACCTTTATTCTAGATTTTTTTCTATTTTCCGGAAAAATGGTTATATAAACTAAATAGCGCGGTCGGTCTATATGACCGGTGGATAATAATGTTATATGGAGACTTCTAAGTCTATAGTAAATATATAATAATGAGTAAATATATTTTTCTATTTGGGAAATAATAAAAGGAGAGATTGCTCAATTGCAGTTTGATAGATCATTGTTCTGGAACTGATGAATCCTTTTTCACGGATTTTGATAAGTAAATAGTATAAATCAAATTTCATTATTCTTACAGTCTATAACAGTAAGCCGTGCTTGTCGTAAGTTTCAAAATAATAGCCCAATAGAAATTGGGAGAGAGCAGCAAACCTATTCCGAAATCTATTAGATTTTGAATTGGTACATATGATAAAAAGCATAAAGAAGTATAAAAGTTGTATGTTACATCTTTAGGTGTTTTTCAATATTTTGGACCTAGCTGGATAAATGCATACATTTTATATAAAGAATCGACAAGTAAAAACATTTACAGGAAGGTATTTTTGTTCCAATTAGTTTCTGAACTTGGCGATGCATAAACGAAATCTCAATAAATCTAAGTTTTCATCAACAACGTTAATAATAGTAGAAGAGCCAGTGAACTATTTTCCCAAATAGTTCACTGGCTCTTAGACTATAAGTTCAGATTTGGACGTACGAAAAACTTGTTAAATAAAATTTTTAAAAAGTTATAAAACAACCAATATTTTTATATAATCTTTTCATACATTATATAAAAATAAATTCCAACGAAACTTTCTGAAAATTTCTTCATTATATAAACATTACGCAACACATCAATAATCGGAATTTAATAATAAAATACCTAACTTTTTAATTACCGGTCAATTGACCACGTGAGGTAGGAATAGGTATACAAAATTGTCTGTAGGTTTAGTGTTAAAATCGAAAGGGATTGCAGTACTGACTCTCAATGTCTCAATTCAATTGCATATTGAAATTTCAAATACTATAAATTTACTCTATATTCCATTACCTAATCCGATGTCGCTAAGCGCTATTTACTCAAATTGTGTATTTGCTGTTTTCGTGACACCACCATTCAACCGTAAGTCGTGAAACTGATCTTTCGAAAATAGAAAACGTAGCGTTCCGTCCTTGACCGCCGATGGTACTCCGAAGATTATGTCTGGTCAGTTCCACAAATGCGATAATCACAGCACGCACAAACGTTTTATATGCATAGCTAAAAAAAGTGTTGCTAGATAAAACCTAAATGGTTATCACGCATTTGAGTTTGAGTAATTAATGTAATAGATCTTTTAATGCAATCAACTAAACCTTGTTAGTTGATTTTTTCATATTTCTAATTTTTTGAATAGGGAGAAATTACGAATATCTATTCAATATTGAATTAAAATGATGTGGCATA